GAACACACCGTGTGACACTGTGGTTGTAAACTTATCGGACACGAGCTTGTCACCTGACGAAGTAAAACTGCTATCTAAGGGACTAAGCTTCTGCCCGACCACAAAATTTTTCGATGAATTCCACTTACTCCGAGACCTCGACAACTTCGCTCGAAGCTTAAGGTTGCGCGAATATTTCTTGGATAGGCCTTCTAACCACGAAACAATTCACCGTCGTAAATCAAATGATTGGACACCAAACAGTAATTGAGACAAGTGCTTGGACCTTTATATCACCGCATTACAGAAAGATATAGTACACGAATACCACAGACAGAAAGGAAACCGAGAAAACTTGACCAAATCTGAAAAAATAAGTATGAAAAATTTGGCATCTAGGACCGACATAACAATAAAACCCGTGACAAAGGAAGAGCAATTGTAGTCCTTAATACAACCAACTACCTACAAGAAGCATACCGCCAACTAGACGACTCAAGATTTTACGAACGCCTCCCAGGTGATCTGACAGACGAATACAAACGTATCGTATCAACAGAACTAAAGAAACTGTTGGACGCAGAAAAGATAACCAACACAGACCACAAACTGATGCAAGCAGCATACCCTCGTCCAGGTCGCTTCTACATCCTCCCAAAAATTCATAAACCCGGTAACCCAGGTCGACCAATCATATCAGGCATCGGTACAATAACTGAACCCATATCAGGGTACGTGGACAAACTAATAAGCCACATTCCATGCACCCTCGCGTCGTACATAAAAGACATCACACATTTTCTTCGAGACATTGCGGGTATCTGTGTGCCGAAAAACTCGTACTTGGTTACTCTTGATGTCTCTTCATTATATACAAATATTCCTCACGATGACGGCATAGCTGCATTACAAAACATGTACACAAACCATAGACAATCTAACACCCCAGATTTCTCTGCCATTGCAACATTGACGAGGATGGTCCTCGAATTAAATTCATTCGAGTTTAACCAAGAGTATTTTCGACAAATCAGCGGGACCGCTATGGGCACCAAAATGACACCTAATTATGCCAACATATTTATGGGAAAGCTAGAATCTGAATTTCTTGCACAAAGTTCCTTGAAACCAATGTTATACAGAAGATACATAGACGACATCTTTCTTATTTGGACCCACAGCGAGGACGAACTTCTCAGCTTTGTAGACACTTACAATGCTGTACATCCGAACATACACTTCACACACACATACTCGCAAGTTACCGTAAATTTTCTTGATGTTACCATAACGACAGAAGAAGAGAAGCTCTCTACAACCCTATATTGCAAACCAACGGATCGACAACAATACCTTCATTACCAAAGCGATCACCCACGCCACTGTAAAAACAGTATTCCATACAGCCAGGCTCACCAGTTTAAGCGAATCTGCTCTAGAGACGCTGACTTTGACACGAGCTCACAGAGGCTAAAACTTATGCTCGAGCAACAAAAATACCCCCCACATGTAATTAATGACGCTGTTCAAAAAGCGAGAAAACTAAAGCGTGAAGACTTACTTATGAAGCGACTACCAGGACAAGACCCACAACGAACAAACCTCTGCTTGACTTACAGCACAAACTTCCCCAATGTAAACAAAATCCTTAAACGACATTACAACATTCTGGAACAAAGTGAACGTCTGAAACGCGCATTCCCATCCGCTCCAGGCGTCGTTTACCGACGACCACGTAACCTCAAAGACACCCTTGTCCACTCCCAAATTAACACATCACCCCCCAATAATTCATGCCGCCCTTGCTTAAAGCCACGATGTCTTGTATGTAAGGCGATGTGAGAAACAGACAAAGCAACCAGCACGCAATCCAAGTTTTCGATTAACATACGAGGAAACCTAACATGCGATTCCTCTAATGTGGTGTACCTACTCGAATGCAACGTGTGTGGTATGCAGTACATCGGACAAACAGAAACACCATTTAGGATTCGCTTCAATAATCACAGAGCCCATGCGAAATCAGCCCCAAGTCTACCTCTATCAAAACATCTCAATCTTCCCGACCATGCATTCGACAAACTATCAGTAACGCTCTTAGAGACGGGATTTAAATCAAATCGAGAACGTGAACAACGAGAGTCATATCTTATCCACCGATTTAACACCCTCGATAGAGGAATAAATGAGAATCCTGGTACACTTGCAGCAATTAAAGCATTAGAAAACAATAACGGCAACAATGAAAATAGTAACTGAGTTCACGGCACTGCAGCTGCGAAGGGCACTGGACAACCTAAAACAATTCCAAGTGTAAATACTCTTCCTAAGTGCAGCTGTCGTCTGTTTTCTGTTTTATTTTACTACCCAATGAATTGTGCCATGCACGACATGCCCAACAGCAACCATGTGCACAGCCGGGAGGCCCCCACGACACGCGTAATTTAGAAGCGGGCCAGGAATTCGCATTGCACGCGCTTGCACAGCCTATACCGCAATACGGGGCACCCCTATTTTTACGACGAAATGTTGACCGGGCGCGGAGTAGCTAAAGGCTTAGAACTTCCTAAAATGCCCGCTGACCAGCCTCTGCCACAATACGCGGCCCCCGTCCTTCTACGACGAATTGTTTACGGGACCCCGAGTATTTAAAGGCTTAGGACTTCCTGAAAAGCTCTTTTTTGCCCCACACCGAACCGCCAGTGCCAGGAGGGGCCATCTGATCGGGAGGAATGCGCTAGTGAACGGAAACATACACAGACCGGTGACACCAGAAAGGTGAAGGGGAGAGGGGGGAGAGAGATGGGGGGGAAGTGGAGGGAAAAGTAGAAGGGGGGCACCCGAGGGGCGTCCACCGTATATTAATTTTCTTTTTTTTATTTTTTTATTTCCTTTTCTTTTCTTTTTTTCTTTCCTTTTTTTTCCTCTTTCCTTGCCCTCTGATTTGAGATTGTATAAAGCTGAGCACCGACAAACTGTATCTTTATTCCTGCTGAAGGCCAGACTCTAGGCCGAAACGTCGAAATAAACCACGTTGTGACCGCTCACGGAGGATATATATATATATATATATTATAAAAGTAAGTGCCACAGAAATCGGGTGATGCCCACTACTGAACTACAGCACACTAAAAATAAACAAGGTGTCTAGATAAGCTCAATCTCCTCGTCCTATTCAATATAAACTGGTATAGGTTAGGTTTACCATTGACTACTCGTAAGCTGTAGTCGTTTGGAGGCGGTCAAATTTGAGGCAAGCCTCAGTGCTGTTACGACTGCGCTATACAAAATTATTCAATGAACCCGAAGATTGCGCTGCTAGTGCTACCAACCACTGAAAGAAAAAAAAACATTTTTATGTTGGTTGTTCAGACTATACATAACCTCAACCAGTTTGCCCATGACCGTTCGCGAGGTTTCACGCACCGAGGCGGCATTGGAGGCCTTCTAGGGTCCTGGACAAAATCCAGTTTAACGATGCGCTCGTTACTTCAAATAAAATCACCCCTTACTATATTGTCTGGGTAGAAAGACCTATCCCTTTTCTCACAAGGAGTTAGATAGGTCTGAGTCAGTGACATTTAGAATGCTCCTGACGGGCTCATTACCCTCGCAGAGCTTTCTCAGTCGTATTTCTACAGTGATTGGTTCAAGTAAGCTCTGGACTGAAGTGAAACCCATTTTTCCTAGACACACATGCTTTGGCAATGCCCCACGTTACCTAACAGCCCTCTATCCAGCGGATCCAACTGGAAAGAGTCACTCCAGAGGTCACTGCTTCATTCACAATTCCAGGCAATTCAAAGAGCCCGAGAAAGGGCGCGAGGCACTCTCTGTGGTTCTTGAAACATAACCACGGAGAAAATCAGAATCGGCGCCCAAATTTAATCAGTGTGCTGACCGGTGTATATATGGTTCTCGAATACTGACGTCAAATCCCTTTCAGAATTGACAAATACATATGACATATGAAAAAAGACCTTCATATGTCAACTTGATAAAGTTATTTCAATCACTCACTCTGCTGACACATATTTGTATCATGATCGCGCATATGGAGTTGCCGCATATATTTCCCATCTAAGAGGAAGCCCACGGCCACGAGAAAAACATCCACGCCGTTCAGTCGAGGCCAGAGAACGTCCACTCTGTACCATATCATCCACATCGAAGGCCGAACGTCGAGCGGTACTTCATCTGGTCCACAGTGACCTGGCCCTAGCTGGCCCGGCCTTGATATCGACGGAACTTGTCCATGTTTTGCGCCTGTATCAGCGGCAAGATCCCAAATAATCATTCGCGTCCGTACCAGAGATGAAGTTCGAGACGGCCCACAAACACATCGTGCAATAACAGGTGCAGTGATAAGCCGCATACGGGTTGTTACCGCCAAACAAAAATGATGCGTCTCGAAACTTCTGAGTATAACGAATGGATTTCGTGGGCTCATTAGTATTTCGCGTCACAGCTGCCACGTGGATCTGATATCTGTGTCCACAGGAGCCGACAAACCGGCGTTCATTTTGTTGTGTATTAAATCAACAGTTTTAATTAAATCGAGGAACCACTTTTTTTGTTAGGTTCACCGATGACGAGGTGGGGCAAAAGTGTCATTCTAAGTCAATGCCTTCGAGTAAATGTGGAAAGGGAGGGGGAAGGGGTGTATTGGTTCAAACTTCGCGAATAGGTAAAACTAAAGTAATGACGACTCACAGGGTCCTTTAAGGACTCACTTAAGACGACTCGAAGGCAAGAGCCATCTTCCTCTTCGTATCGACAATGTGCAGAAGCTGCCCCGTGGTTTTTGAATGAAGTGGTGAGTTGGGCTTGTTCGACACTATGAATATACGTGCACTTTTCTAATACAGGTGGTGGAAAGTTTCGTCGTCATTCGTCTTCCGTCCGTTGTGTGTTTTTCGCGCTGCAGCGTGCCGGAATAACGTGCACTGTATCCAAGATGGGAGGTACCTCACGCGCCTTTGCATTGCCTCTGTGATCGGATCTCCTTTGAAGAAGCTATAATGCAAGGTGTTGACGTCATCCTCATGCTGGTACGTCCCGTGATGCAATTGTGTCCCCAGTAGGACGTCATATGGACGTCACAAATTTTACCAATTTGGTACATCGTCGTGACTTCCTCTGGTGGCGATATTTTTTTTTCACGTCAGTTGTTCTCGACGCCGCCGACGTGGGACGCCAATGCCGACTGTATAGTTTCGTGTTTGATGAGGCATCAATGATTTCCCCTTAATAAAGGACTCTTATTTGCGTTGCGAACCATCACGTCACACAGCTGGTTTTGCTATTATAGTTACGTAAAGCTTGAAGTTTAGTTTACACAGATAAGCATCCATGGGTTATAGAAAGATGTATGCTGTCATTGAGTTGAGGCAAAAGGAAACAAGAAATGCCGGTTTCCCTATCAGATCAACACCTCGAGTCATGGCAAGGTCTCGTGAATTCAAAGATGTGAAAAAATAAAGTTATACACAGGGGTGAAAACCACCACGAAAGTGCGAGCATCAAGGTTCTTTTGGAAGCGTTATAGTGCAGCAATCTTCCCTCTCTTTGCGTTGGCCACGCGCCACAGTGTACTAGGGCTTCTGGTGCTTGACTCCTGATCCGAAGGTCGTGGAATAGAAACCTGGGCTCGGTGACTGCGCCCTTTCGAGGCGCCCTTCCGTTAAAGAATTTCAGGAGGCCGATATTCCGGAGCCCTCCACTAGGACGTTTTCATAATCGTATCCTGGTTTGGGGACGCAAAAAGTGAGCAATCATTATACCGAAGAATATACTGTACCAAGATTTCGTTTACCCTATTCGCTTCTATTATTTCACGTTTCTGGTCTATCTGTAATGAAGCTGGATCAATTTATGCGGCACAGCGCTGACGAACGACGAAAATACTGAAACCACAATAAGCTTTAGAAAACATAATAACGAGAGTTTAAGTTTTACTTCCCAAAACCACTGCGTAATTTTGAAAGATGCCGTAGGGGAGGGCTCGGAAATCTCGACCACCTGGTGTTCTCTAACGTGGACATAAATCTTAGAACAAGGGCCTGTTGCTTTTAGTCTGAGCCAAAATGGGGCATCCGCAACTGGTGTTCAATTTTAGAGTATCTATTCTTTAAGTACGTCTTTCATTTTGCAAATAACCTCTCTTTGGGGACTCCCAAGCTTCTTTTGAGTACTGTCCTGGGTTTGGCGATTTTCACCTTTATTGGTGTCATCTGGAAGATTTCGATTCGTGTCATCTTTTCTTTGTTTTTCCTTTGGAGCGCATTCTTTCAACGACGAGGTGTCAAGGTGTATGCGGCAGGGCCGACGCAAAGCCGTCAATTGTGGAACGATCAAGACCACGTGACGAGTCGTCCTGCGGTCACTGGCACACGCCACGCATCGACCGCCAAGCGGCGCTGCTCACCAGAAGTCGCTTTCTGCCACGCGGGTGTCATCAATAAACTCGCTCGGCTCGTCCCACGCGGCCTAAACAAAAAGCCGCCTGTTGAGCTCCGCGCGACCACAACTGCGCGAAGACGTCGCCGGTGGCAAGTTTGGCGCGCCTCGGAGACCCGCGACCGTAGTCATCGGTGTCACAGTGTGACCTCGAAGACTGGCGACCATCGGTGTCACAGTGTGCTGCTTCTCCTCTTTCTGTTTCTTCGAATATCATCAAGCGGGTGGAAGAGACCGCATCGAGTGCGCGTTCCTTGCGGAGAAGAAAAGTGGTGAAGGAATGTCTTAGCTACCTCAGCGTCGAATATTAGCACTTGCAGGTCGCCCAAAGTTTAACTAGCACGTTATCTTAGCGCTATTTGTGTCGTGTGACTCATAGTGGTGCGTCTGAGGGCCAATAGCGGGGAAATACTAAGCAATCGCCGTGGTTGCACCGACTGAAGAATTGGGACGTCTTCATTTTAGGCTACGGTGATTTGGAAACGTATGACCGAAGAATGATGCCGGGGCCACTTGACGGCGGGAGCCACTAGTTATTTTCTACCTGTGTCGCGACGCGTACTTTGACTGTAGTTACAGTAATTTGCCAATACGTAGTTGAGGTATTTTTTTAAAGATAACAATTTGATTCTTCATTTGCAGCTGAGGAGATAACCTAGAAACGGAGTAATACACGTTTCGTGTAGTGTCTACTTTGGCGAACCAAGTTGCCAAACGAAATGATACGCCAGCCGCGTCACGTGTTATGTTTTAGAACGAAACTGGAACATTTTAAATACTCAAAATTGGTTTTAAATTCTTTATTTCGATACTGAATGTCAAACGAATAGTAGGACAAACACCACGGCGTAGATTTTTCACGAGGCGTAGATTTTTCATTTTCATTTTTACCTGCACCTCTGCGATAGAATACATAGTATCCTGAAAGGAAAGCAGAATTGAACGATTGTAAAATGTTACGTAAACAAGGGTATTTGTGCTCGTAATTAAATATAAGCTGATACAAACAGGGGATAGCTGTCAAAATGCATTCAGCGTAAAGAATGAAATTAAACTGTTAATGGTGACGGATAAGGTAAGGGAGCTCGACTTAACTACAGTCAGCGTCCGGCTGTTGTATTAGCGAACAATCTTCAGCTGTGTTACCGCATGGTATTTCGCTCATTACCCTACGTTATTTGAAGTAATTTTTTTCACATATTGTTGAAAGTCGCATTGATCCTTCTTAGACGTGTAATCTAGAGAACAGCATATAATGGGAAAAAACTTCTTGTGATTGATACTTGTTTTTCATAAATTTTGTAGCATAGTCAAAAAAACTTTGGTCGAGGCTGGCGGAAACAGATTTGGAACATGACGGATAACGAAGTAACAGTCGGATTAAGCCTTACAATATTCATAGCAAGAACGTTTGTCATTCAAAATTGAGCAGGTGGTAGGTTTTCTAAATACACATTAAAGTAGAAAATGATCGGATACGATACCTCGTATTAAAAAAAGAGTGGTGAAAACACATTGCCTATGATGAACACTGAGTAATCGTTCTATTCAGTTTATCAGTGGACGCTAACTTTACATTGCGTAGGTCAAGACCAGCCAATTCATTAGTTCTATGTTGAATGGTATGAAACGCTTATTAGCTTAAAATAATTGAAAATTAACAAACATATCGATGAAAAGGTATCACGCTCACTCATTATGTCCTTATTTATGGCAGGTGCTTTTGGGACTGTGAAATTCGGCCATCATATGGCCTTTTAGGACTGCGATTAGACTAGAAATTTATTTATTTCGACAAATCTTGCTTAGTCCAATATTTAGGTAGTTGAAGTGCGTTACCACATTCGAATTTATTCGTATTTCAAAAAAAAACAAGAAAAATAAACAGAGTAGATAAGTTCGACTTCGACACTTGCACAATTAGGCGCGTTCTTTCGCCTGTTTCCTCCCGTTCGTTTAGCAAGAGGGACGGGGCTCTGATCGGACAACTGCAACTCTTATTGAACTCTCAGTGGTAATGTAGCTGCGAATGCTTAATCAATTTATTATTAGCTGGAAAGTTCCTCTGAAGTGAAATATAACACTCCTGTACAAGGCCATGTCAAAGCAACGTGTCCAGCCGTGCAAGCAGACAATGCTACGCGAACGAGGAATTACCTTTTCCTTAAACAGAACAGCCTCATAAAACGTCTCTAAGTGCAAATACAACCACTTTTATTGAATATAGAAAGAGTATCCCATCATAGTAATGATTACTGCAGCTCCGAGTCCCATGTCCACATCACATACGCGTTTTTCAAGTTTGCTCGTAACTTAGTCAGCGAGCGATCGTAGAAAATCTGCATACTGTGATTATGTCAAGGCTTCATCGCACGATTTCCGGTCTCATAAATGAAAGTCTAGGTTAGCGGTAGTATACGTCTCATTATAAAGAAAGTCGCCATTTATAGATTTTGAACTAGCCGAATGGGACCCTTACTGATCTGATCAAAAGCTTCTTGTAATGAAGCGATAAACACGTTGATAAGGGTGTTCCTAGACGAATTTCATCGTTGTACTATTCTGTCGGTGATTGCAGGCTGCTCTGATAGACCGTACTTTCATTTATGATCGAACTCAGCGGGATGGACGAAAGGCACTACAATGTGCGCTGCAACTTACGCAAACGCCAGGTTCAAGTGCGCCTCATGGACGCTCCTTAAGGAAGAAAGTGCCCACCGATTATGTCAAAGCTTCACGAAAGATACAAACAGTGGTTTGTATTAGCTACTTGTCTACGGCGCTTAGGACTAATTTACTTAACAAGCCTAGTCGGCATAGCTAATATGCGCGCAGACGACATCAGTTCATCGATCTTCTTGGCTTCCGTCGGTGGAAGTCCTTGGTAAATACTCGATGCGCAGAAGCTACATTTTAGGCAAAGCCCTGTGATCAATTTAGATTAAGCGTTGAATATTCGCTAAGACTATATGTACTTATGCGTGAGTGGTTCTCTCAAGCCCACATAATGCCTTGTGCTCGTACCGAACTGGTCATCCCTATAGAAAATCTGGAAGTATACATACCATCTACCTCAGATAACAAGCCCATATAGAGGCTCAACAGCCGCTGCATAGTTTTCCATGCAGCCGAAGGGCCAGCATCTGATATTGAACAATGTCTTCTAAATAGACAATGCGTGACAGAACATTAGCTCAGTCCGGCTATCATTCTTGATTCCTTCTCGAACAACGCTCTGTTCACCCATAAAAGCTGATTCCAAGACTCGAGACATCACGAAGTGAGCAAAAAAGAGTCAAAATCGACAAGCCCACAAGACACAATTATACGACAAGCGACATGTTCTGAAGACTTCCGAACGGACAAGCTACGCTATCAAGAGGCCTCCTCCATCGTCCCGCACATAGTGACAATCAACGTCGCCGCGACGGCTTTTCTGTGCATTAGTGAGGCGAAGGATGTTGCGCCGGTCATTTGTGAGATGAGCGTAATAACTGCGCAATACCCTGCGATGAACTAGATGCAATGATTAAAAATAACGGACGACTCGCTGCTGTTCCCAAACGTCGCCACCATTCGGAAGACCCAGGCTATTCCAATTTTGCAGCGTTTTGTCGGATTGCGTGTGCACTGCAGTAAAAGTGGACGTTGAGCGTGTTTTGTGACTTAGTCCGAGCGATCGGGCAGCGCTGAGGAGGAACACACCACTGCGTGCGACAGGAGCGCCGCAGCTGTGGAGCGCGCACGACGAACCTTGGTGAGGCTGGCGGCCCGATCCCCGGCGAGGCCTCCGGGACTAGTGGCGGACGCGTCGCCGCCCGCTCTTCGTGACCCGAGTACCTCCGTCGACGACATGTCCTTGCACGTCGTCAACTCGATATCTTTCTTGCTCGGTGAGTACGCTTGTTGTAATGTATGCAGTTTGAATCAAACTTATCTCAGAGTGGTCGAGCGCGTAGCACGTGGACACTGCCATGGCACCGTCTGTTACTGCCACTTCGCTCAAGCTACATGCGTTCGTTCTTGCAGGCCACATGACTGTGTTTGTCATCATAACGTTGTTATTCTCTGCATAGTTTTGCAAAGAAACGGTGACTGAGATGACCTACTGGCTAGTGTACACAAGTGTGAATCAGACTACTTTATTGTACATCAGAAGAGTGGATTGGTTTGGGTGTCCACCACTGTGGATCAGTAGCTAAGCTGCTTGGCTGCTGAACCGAAGGTCGCGGAATCAAATCCCGGCCACGGTGGTCACATTTCGGTGGAGGCAAAACGGTAGAGGCCGATGTACAGTGAGATGTCAAATAAGAACAACAGATGGTCAAAATTTTCGGAGCCTTATGGCATCTCATTATCATATGATGGTTTTGGGACGTAAGACACCAGATATTATTATTATTATTATTATTATTATTATTATTATTATTATTATTATTATTATTATTATTATTATTATTATTATTATTATTATTATTATTATTATTATTATTATTATTATTATTACGAATTGATTTGGTACGACTGCATCATACATCAGGACTAACCCACCACATTCGACCGAACTCCACGCACAAGCACTGGTGCCATTGAATTGGTCCTGGTGTAAAAGGATGGTCTACGTGTATTAAGTATCGTACCCTCACGCGAGACAGCAAGGTGCAGCCTCTGAAGACAGCCTTTACGCGCAGCGATTTACCCGAAGGTGGTACTGAGACGATGCTGGTATGGTCCAGTGTTGCCAGATGCTACCGAGCAAGTACTCATCACGATGGAAGTCGAAAAGAGGTGAAAAATAAGAAATTTTCCCATTCTTGAAAATGTTTTAATTATACAAAATACACCCCTTAAATCCAAAGGTATATAAAGAATCACCTAATTAACTTGTACATTGTAAATATGTGGAACTATAATCGAAAGCTCATCCTTACTTTGTAGAATCGTCAAGAGGATAGTCTCCATTCGGTTGAATGCACGTTTGTGGGTGTTGGATTCGCGTAACCTTTTGATTCCCCCGGCGTATGCTTGAACTCGACACTCAACTACTGAAAGTCGTCGACAAACACGCTTTTAGTGAACTACAAACGTACATTTGGGAACGTAATGATCACTAAAACAGTTGTATTTGCTGGAAAAAAAGCACGTAAGCCCAAGAAAAAAAACGCGACAAGCGACTGGCTGACTTCTACGAGCTACTGGGCGAAAAATGAAGCCCAGGTCCGCTAATTATAACCTGAACTGGCAAGTCTGCTATGGTCACAATACTGGTGGACAGTTTTCTGTGGCAACGAAGGGAAAGCCACGAGGGCGGATCTTCTTTCTATGTACTCCTACGAGAAGTAGTCCGACAGAGTTGCCATTGGGTGTAATTGAAAAAGGTGTCAGAACACAAGCCAAATGTAGCCAAAGTAGCCATGTCATTTATTATTATAGCCAAATCGGTAGCCAAATAGAACAGGAGGGGTATTATGAAGAGTTGATGAATAATTAAAACCATTTTAAACAAACGAAACTAGAAGTTGAAAAGCACCCAGTAAATAGCCTTGGTACCAACTGGAAATTTTCGTCGCCAAATGGCCCAAAAAGTGGTCAATTTGGCACAAACTAGCCAAAAACGGTGACCCTGCAGTCCCAATTGGCTTGCATTCCTCAAGTCTAAAAAAAGGCGGCTGAGCCCAATCAGAGTTCAATTATTACGCCGACACCACTTAGCGTTTGAGTTACAGGACTTCCTCACGCGAGCAAAAACGTAAAGTCACAACGTGTAAATTGAAATTGTTACAGATATCCCAGCGGTGTATGCTACGTCCCGTATCAACGAACTACATGTAGAAAATAAAGACATGGAACTTTCCGTTTCGAGCAGAAAATACGGACACAATTGTGGAGCTGTACTCATTGGCGTGGTTGGATTCGTGTGGTTGGACAACAGCATAAACACAGAGCCTTTGTTTCCATTCATCGCTGTCGCATCTTTTCTTCGTGCTCAAACTCATTGGCGCTATAGTAGAACGCTATTATAATGCACCAAATATCCAAATCAGCAGTGCGATTGGAGTCTGTAGCCTTCGCTTCATTGCCAAGTAAAGCGGTGTGTGAGTGTACCCGCCCAATATGTTTCAGAAGAGAGATACAACTAATGGTGATGTCGAAATCGTGTATTAAACCAATTGCCATATCTATTCGTTCAGCGGAATGGGAGTTTTTACCTTGATGCGTTGAAATCTGCGACGCTAGAGATGTTATTTGTTTATATACTTGCATATCTACTTGGAAGAGGCACAGGTGGTCGTGTTGTGTCCCCGTCCGGACAATTTTGAAACCCTAGTCTTGCGTTTTACTACCCTCACCTGGGAATCAAAGAGTCAGCCAATTACTTCAAACGATGCTCGTGGTATAGGCGTATCCTCCAGCACAAAGAATACTCTCCTCATGTGTAGCTGTAGCTGCAAGGCACCGGGCTCTTTCGATCCCTTTTTAGGGTATTTGATTTCCGATAGACACACCGAGCAGAAATGGAGTTTGGAATATCAGCATCGACATTGGGCTATCCAAAGAGCCTACGATGTGGCGGTTAGGCTATGTCTAACTTTCCCTACGTGGCAATGCGCCGTGGTGTCGCCCTAAGAGGTGAAACTTCTCAGGATGCTTAAATAAAGTTCTTCGTACCGTATACCTTACAGTCGTTTCCCATTGGTTTTCTCTAGGGAAGTTTTGGGGAGTGGGGTAGCAGACGCCCTGAGCCATAATAATTGCTCATTCAGTGTGGCGCATGATACCCACTTAGCCTGCATCGTGTCCTCTTCAATATCAACGATGAGTAGAGAAAACGTGCCAGCATAGAGGTAAGTTATGCTGACCCAAGATAGAACGAGAATTTAATAGTGGATTAAACAGTTTTGCCTATTTTTTCTCTCGTGTGCATATGTGTTGACGTCGCTCGTGTGTGTATGACGTCACTGGAATTTGGACACTCGTAGGTGGGTTGGTTGCGAGATACCCGCTGCTGACAAGTCGCTAAGGAAACGCTATACGCATTCAACTGTAAAACAGTACTATTTGGGCTTCAGTAAGTAAAGGCCTCATCACCCGAAACGTGCCGCATATAATCTCATTTTCAATCTCTCTCACGTTGTGTTGGCGACCACATACAATCTTATCTATTGACATATCACGGCTCTGTAGCAAGACGTGGTTGTCTCATAAATGTAAACTACAACGTGCACAAAGAAAATTAACATCATTTTGCTTGATTTTTGTTCAACTCACTGCGGTTCCTACGTCGTTTCCGGTTCAGCTCTTGCTCGTAATCTGAGCCGCCTACTCGAAATCGACATATTGACCAACACGGTCGACAAGTCGCGCCATGCGGACCAGGGTGCCAAGCACCACGCGAGGAGCATTAAGTCACCAGCCGCGACGTATCATTTGCGGTAGTCTAATGAATCTATAGTGTACACGCGGGAAGAAAAATCAAGAGGCTAACGACCACGCGCCCACATCACCTTTGCCGGTCTCATTAGCAATGAAGAACCGCTTTGACCTCAGCATATCTTGTCTACATCTGTTTGTAGATACACTCTTTGCGGCATTCATTCCGTAAACGGTTTGTTCTTCGAACTAATCATCCGTGACATCACCTTCTCCGCTCCTTTTGGGCCGGTGTTATTGTGTTTGGGGGGGTTACAGCGTACGTGACGCGATGCCGACTAGCTCTTCCAGTCCATCTTACTTATCGTTTCGTAAGCTTTGTTGGCTCACCTAGTGCGACTAACAGCTCCGAACATGTACTCGCAAACTGAGATGGAAAACCTGTGTTTGGGTGTTTCGAGATCCAGAATAACAATGCGAGCTTCACAGTTTCATAGATTGATCGATTCTTCGGTTGTTCAGTTTGCACAAAGAAGGCACGTTTTCTTGCCGGCGAATGCACTCCTAATTATACAGGTTTCATGATGGTCCAAAGAAGAGGAAAAAAACTTTTTCTTGTTTTGACTGGGCACAAGCCGATCAGTACCGTTGATTCACAATTGAAATATTCAGTATGACACTCCAATATGGCTCAGTATATTTCCGTATTTCCATAAGAATCGTACGGAACACATGTGAAATTGTTGACACGCGTAAGGAGAGAAGCTCATCTAAAAAACTTCAAGTACAGTGTAAGTGATGCGATGTCGAATAGCTCTTCATCTTACTTATCGTTTATCTACAGTTTATCTTACTTATCATTTCGTAAGTCTTGTAGGCTCACCTCGTGTGGCTGCAGCCCCGACATGTACATTGCGAACTGAGATGGCAGACTGGTGTTTGGGTGTTTCGCAAAGTTAATGAGTGAATCGATATTTGCGCAAATACAATGCAGGATTGCATGCAGAAGATGTTTGTGTGTAGGACATTTCAGGAACTAACTAACTATTTTTTATTGTCTTACCTCTCCCAGTTTAACACTGTGTCAATAAAGTTAGTAATCTCAACTTCTAAACTGCAATCAACCAGCGCAATTTCAGAGTAATAGATAGCACCATACCATAAAGTGATATAACAGATCGCAAATGGCGTGCGCTTCCCATTTTTGTAATACTAAAGCGGTTCGTGCTAGAGTCCACCAAGGCTTCCGTGACGTATTCCGATCACGGAAATGGCGTCTAACACATTGTCACAGGTCCCGTTAATTCGGGAGGCGATCGCCGGGCTAATTCCAAGGGCCGAAGTACCGGCCCCCCGAACCGCACCACGAAAGCGTGGACAATTTAGAAGTGGTCCTTTTTGGCGCGCCAGCGGACGCCGGCTGTGGCCCAAAGAACAAGTCAGAGCCGAGAGTTGATAACCAAAACAAAATTATATTCTCACTAATGGCAGATCAAGAACAATACACCAATATGCACACTCCACAATAGTTGCATACAATGCGTCACCAATCAAACAACGTACTACACAGTACAATCAGCCACACTCGAAACAACGGACACAGACAATACGCACTACAATGCAGTCGCATGCATTGAACAACCAAGACACCTAAAGACTAAAGAGATATAAAACCTATTCAGTCCAAAGTTCTTCGAACAAAAGCCTGAATGATGCTCTCCCGAGAATCACTCACTCAAATTCCAGCGTTGTTGTCGTTCCGCTGCCCCCGAAGTTTCTCTTCCAGGAAACCTTGCGTTCCGCAGCCCCCGAAGTTTCTCTTCCAGGAAACCTCACGTCTTCACTTGGTCTCCTAAGTTTCTCTTCCAGGAAACCTCGCGTCTTCAATTGGCCACTCTCCAAGCTTCAAACTTCTTTGTCGGAAACACGTCGGCTTCACACGCGCAGCTGTTTCCACGCGTCTTCGGTCGATAGCGGTAGACACACGCTCTTGCCTGTAGCTCGAGTCGTCACCCCTCAGGTGGAAATCGTCTTCTCCTGTTTTGTCTCTACGGACAAAACCTTCGCCGACCACACGGCAGAATCCCTACGCGCTCTGGCGCTGACTTCCGTCTTCTCCTGCTTGTCCCTACGGACAAAACCTTCGCCGACTGCACGGCGGAACACCCTGCGCACCCTGGCGCTAACTTCCGTCTTCTCCTGATCTCCCATCTCGGCTGCTCGATTAAATACCTTCCGCGCGAGATTACAGAAAGTTCTCATCATTTCGTCGGCGCGATACGCAGCGAAGGCTGGGAGAGGGCGAGACGGTTCGAAGGCCGTCCGCGACGGATGACGCAACCCGGCATCATCCCGCCCCTTTCTATCAAGAAAATTCCAGTGCTTGCTCTGGCGCCGATGAGAGGAGGTTGGTCGGCGAACCCACGCTTCCGAGGAAAGAGTTCGCCACGCACGGCGGAGTTTGGATGTTTTTTTATGTGACTCGCGGCGTCACTCCCGGACTTTCGGTCGCGCGAATTTGGCGGTGCGCCTTTTTCGAGCGCTCGTTCTGTGCCACACATGCACATGATTTGATGTCAAAGAAAAAAGTTCTGTCAACGGGCATGGAAGCAACGACCTCTCGGTCGGCAGCAACAGATGTCGAGCACGATATCCACTGCACCATGACCAGCAGCTTTCGAAAAGCACCTTTTATATAGCACACTTTCCTCTCACAGTGCTCTTGGTCAATGAAGTGGTGTCGCCCTCTCGGTGCGGTAATTTAGACTAGCTCACTATTTCTGCGGCCCCCACGATTAGCACCAGCAGCCCGTGTAGCAACCAGCCCGTCCCATTCGGTGGTTTCCAAAGGAAGTGCGATTTTGTCAATGCCTTGACACACCACCATGTGGTGACCTCAGCCCACGTATCGCTCTCGCTCATAAAGTCCACCAAAACTAAAAATAGCTCTTCGACGTGTTCCGGCGTCGGCTGGCTGTGATACCACATTCTTCGCTTACTCTTGCTCCGAAAAAAATCGCGGCAGGTCTACATGGTAGACACGACACGCGCTGCGTTTCCCTATAGCCCAGCCGTGGTGTTCAATGACCCTTTAAAATGCCGTGGTGTGGTGACCTACCCAAGGAGTCCGTTGAAGCATTGATAATGCAAGACATCCAAGCGGATAGCCTAATCACGACTGCAAGGCTGGTTACGACTTTGCAACGCTTTGCCTTGTGCCTGTCACACCGCATTGCCTAATTACGTTCTCACCATTAACCAATGAAGCCACCACAAGGGTTTGATCACGGACGTAGCCTTCTGGATGAAGATGCACCACTGAGAGCCAACATGTGTACGTCCAGGTTAAATTGGGTTATAGCTACCAAACACAAATCTACGTTGTGCAAACTCTCCCGTTTGAACGTACAGTAAACATTCACTTATCTCCGCAACGGACACGTTTTACTTTCGTGTTTACCGATTGCTGTGACACAGGGATGAATGATGTTTCTAAGTGTTATAGTACTCGGCGTAGTTGCAGAGCTTGTGGATCTGGGAACAGTTACGAGTGCAACTCATTAGTGTTACCGTTATCGGGAAAACTTTATGGTCATTACTCCCGCTGTTACTCCACTGCCGGAAATCTTAACCAACGCGTCTTCTGCTCAAGAACCTACCATTGCTACGATATAAAATTGATATCTATATATCCAGTTAAGGTTGTCGCTAAAAAATAATTTACCCAACATATTGACCGAACGAGAATAATTTCCACAAAGGTACCATATCTTCCTATGCAATAGGTACCTAGAGTTGCCTGTGTGGTTACGTGTGATGGTTTCTAACTCTGTGGCACATGGGAGAGCTATTTTTCAGAACGGGTCATTAAACACAAAGCGATCAATATCGTCATTCGTGCTCTGCGAAATGAAAACGTCACTGAACAAACTTGCAGTAGTTCTGACAGTGCGCGTCTACTACTGATATGAATACACAAATTTTGTAGCACTGAAAGACGGACGAACAGTGTTCCCGCTGCCGCGAAACACGACTGAGCGTCTCAAGCCGCAGTAGAGCGAGCGAAATGTGTCTGAAGAGCGAACCAAGAAGAAGAACAGAACTTTATTTTGAGGGAAGGGATAGAAAACGGGTACTCGAAAGCATGTCGGTTGGGGCTCAGAGTCCAGGGCCACGCTGGCTTGCACCTATCGTCTAACATGACTCAGAAGAGCTAATTCTACCTATGGGGACGAGCTGGCAAGTTGTGCCTCCCACTGCTCCAAACAAGTTACAATGATGTTGCCTAAGAAGAGATTTAAATTTACCTGACTTTCGGTCACACTCCCAAGAGAGCATGGCTGTACAGCAACGCCCGAACAAACCTTACCGGTGGTTAACCAGCCTAGCTGAAATGAGGGACCAAACTCTTTATCACAGTGTCAATCTCAGCAGTTCCTTAAGGTGTTTATCAATTATTGTTTTCGTATGTCGAGAAATCTGAGTGTCTGCTTGGTATTCTTTCTGTAGTTTGCAATAGGTTAGTAGTGTGTTTAATGACAATATCTACGGCACACACACGTTTGTTTCTTTTTTTTTGCGCAACTAAGAACTAAGACGCAGAAATTTCGCATCCTCCTGGCCATATACAGCATTGCTGTAACATTTAAGTAATCCGTTCCATTGTTGTATTCAAGGAGTAAGAACTCTCGCCATGTGTTGCCAGCAAAAGTGGAGCCAGATTTTGCCCTTAACGATCTCTTAAACATGCTACTCGCTGGAGGCGCCCACATCAAGATCAAGTATTTTTTTTTTTTTTGGTCTGTTAGTGTAGAGGCGGCGTTAAATGTGAAATAAAAAATTGTTCTTTGTCACAAAAGTACCACATCGAGTTTGGTACTAGTGATCCGGATCTTCAAGAAAAGGTGCCAAGACTTCAAGGTTTACTGAGGAGAACTAGTGGCTTAAAGACAAACTTTGAGCAGCATTCGACTTGACCTTGTTAAACTGGTTAATCGTGCTAAAAACTGGTTTTGCCCGTCCAACAGTAGGCCCTCCTAAACTGGCTGCCGCCATCTTTCGTAGTGAACGACTTCACTGTTAAGCAATAATTTTCAGCCCATGAATTTGTTTAAACCTTCTTCGTTCGCTTCTCCTTTTTTTTTTGACAAAACAGAAAGGTTTATTGAAGCAAGAATGATTCATTTCCCATCATAAACTTCGCACAAAAGCAGGATGAATTTCGGACAATTTTTCTTTTTGCTACCACAATCACTCGCACACGTTATTCAAATTCTGAAGGAGCGCCGCCTTTGTTATACAAATGTCGCACTTTCGTGATGTACTACAAGTCGCTAGCATGTGTTTAACTTAAAGAGCTTATGGTTAATGAACGTTGGTATAGGCTGCTGTATAGTTTTATTTCATGATTTAAGCTAATATTTCACTTGAATTTATTTCCTCAGCGCATCGCTCCCACAAGAGAAGTAAGAGTGCACGTTACAGACCCTTTCAAGGTTTACAAGCACAGCCCCTTGATGACTTCCGGTTTTGTTCCCCGATGTGCTTCAATTGCATTGGTGGACCACAAGAGCTTCAGAAAGTAGTCAGCTGATTTTCTACAGTTTCCTTTCCATATATAAATAAGTATTGTTTTGAGCTACATCAAAATATAAAGCAATCCTTGGTACTTTACGCACGTTTCTTTTATGTAACAAACAATATAAAATTCTTTACGCTTGGAAAAGAAATTGAAAACGTCTGTTATGTTTCGACGTTAGCAGTTGGTAAATGAGGTGACCGGAAGTTTTTTTTTTTTTGGGGGGGGGGGGGGAAAGGAGCAGGGTACAACCCTTGTGAAATTGAAAACATCTGTAGCCTAACATTACATAGTCACGCCTACAGCCCCAGAATCTTTCTTTTTTCTCTTTGAAATTTATAACCTTTCATAGAGGAGTTCAGATGCACCTTAGTCGTTTACATCCGGTAAGATTAAAATGCGTGCAACGAACGTTCCTTCTTTTATAGGCGAGCAACAGAAGAGTCAGCAAGGAAGCCGGCCGAACAGTCCCGCGGACCTGTCTCACGTCGTGGCTGGGGACATCGAAAACAGGTCACATAGCGTAAGTTTTCATGCGGGCATTCTAACTCTGTGTGTGATTTTGTTGTAGGTAGTATAATTATCGTCACCAACCTGTCTTATTCCCACCACCGGACGAACGTCTTTACTAATCATCTCCATCCGCCCCATCTGATGCAAGTTGACGACGCTTGTACGCCCACTAACTTTTTGATAGAGACTCTCAATTTAATAATCTGCCGTCCTTGGTTCCTGGTCCCACACTTCATTTAGTGGCCATTCTGTTGCTCTACCTCACTACGGGTTGCCTTTCCTACGCACATTGCGCGGTCCTCCTAGATTGATTTATTTCACCTAATATCTACAATATCAAACCTAAATATCAAACCTAAATTGTTTCCGGGCACATTCTCCTGTCTTCTGATCCCACTATGTTACGAATGGTCGTTTCGAGCGCAAAAGTATGAACAATGAGCCAGAGTTTTTGTCTTGAGCTCACAAAGATTCTGAATCATTCGTACCAATTGGTCCAACTCACAACTCCTATTATGTTACGTCGGCCATTTCCAGTTGCATTGCCGGCTGTGTGATTTTTATTTTTTTATCGAGTTCCATTGAACTCTTTGTTCCTCACATACGCCCTTGATTTGATGGTACGTACTTAGAGAGAGAGAGAAGAGAGAGAGAGAATGGACAGGAAAGGCAGGGTGGTTAAGCAACTTCTGGCTCAGTTGGCTACCCTATACTTGGGTAAGGTAAAGGGGTAATAGTAGAAAGGAAAGAGATAGACAGAAAAGAAGAAGAGTGAGAAAGATATGGATAAGTCGTCAGCTCGAGACTACACAGCGCGGTCTCACGCCGTTTGTCACAAGCGCTCATGAAGTCCGGTGGGTCCTCAGGAAGCACAAGAAAGATTTCGTGGCCTTGCGCATATGTCACCGAGTATTCAGTGTGGACGTTACGGCTTCTGGCCGCAACTATTGGTTTTAAATGATCGCTTTGAACGCGATAGCATATATCAAAGGGCTCGTTTTGCAGAAACTCGGACGTTGTTCGTTGTGAGCGAAAAACATGATCGTCTTGTGCGTGACCGAAAAATTGAGAAAGATGCAAATAAATAAAATAATAAAAATTTCCTGGTCTGAGTGGGGATCGAACCCACGTCATTAGCGTGGCAAGCAGCCACGCGTCCTTTATGTGTACCATAGGATTAATTAAAATGCCCAATAAAATAGTACATAGTACCACATGGGGTGGCACTGTCGCAGTTCTATAGCGAGAATCAGCGTACAAGCACTTCTTGAGAGAAATTGTTAATACGGTGAAAATAACTTCCTGTGCTTCGACATCCGGTGAAAGTGACTTTCATGCTTTACAAACACACGCGCCCTGTATACATGCATCGAAATTACAACAAAAATATTGCCATAAAAATAAATGCGTGGAACAAGCGTACAATGTCATCGGACGTCAGAACACGTGATACTGACTTCATGGTTTAAAGCCAGTCACCCACTACAAAAGACAGACACGTTACTGCACCTATTTTCTTCAAGGCCACGTAGTGGATTCACAGCAAATGCATAGCACACCTGAGGGGCAACATCTGTATTAGGTGGTGTGTTTCTTTACTAGCATATGCATATACCGGGTGTTCAAAATTAAGCTTTATGATTTTTTTAAAATTAGGCGCTCGAAGGCACGTGAGAACCACTTGTGCAAATAAGTTAAGCGGCCAGGGGGACAGAAAGTTAGATGATAATTATCGCTGTCAGCAGCCCAATTAACTAAAATTTAATAATTAACTTTTTACTGGCTGCGGTAAGTTGGCATGTTTATATTGAAAAAATGTAGGCAGTGGTGTTTGTACACAGTTTCAGTTGGAAGATTTTTTCTAGCACGCCTGTGTTCCGAGATATCCGGCTCCAAAGTTTAATTGTCTTTCGCACGATTACGCATGCAAGAGGGTGAGGGTCCGCGCAAAGCTCCTCCCTAAAGTGACGCATCTGTTGCGTGTGGTGTTTAGTGTGTGAAGAGGGTGGAAGCGTAGGCATAGGTGATAGCAATTACCCTTGCCCTCTTCGGCCGTCGAAATCAAAAATCGAAGAACGCTTGCAACCAGTGTCGTAACACGCAACTGCAGAGCCTCTAACGATAGTGGCAGATACCATGCCGAGATAATGGTGCGAGCGGAGAATCTGGATGCCAGTGCGCGTGCGTAATAATCACTAGAGAAGCATGCGTGGTCGTTGCCTGGGCTACGCGAATAGCGTGACTGCTGATGTCCGAGTACTGTAACTTTTATTGAAACAAGAGCAACAACTCCACCAATAATAACTGAAACAGTTTTATCCTTGCTAACGCATATTTCCTGCTGCTACATAAGCATATTTCGGTCATGCACAAATCTCATCGAAACTCTTCACCTCTCAAGACGTCAATGCCCCAAAAAGTGTTCAAAATGCCTGCCTTCGGCAGCAACGCAAAGCATGAACCGCTGTCGCGTCGACTCGATGACTCGGCGCAGTACTTCTGCAGGAATACTCGCACAGGCAGATGTTATCCTGTCCTTCATGTCATTAACATCGCTGGGCTCTGTTACGTAAACTCGATCTTTAACGTAGCCCCAAAGGAAAAAGTCGAGCGGAGAAAGGTCAGGTGATCTTGGTGGCCAAAACATCGCTCCTGCGCGCCCAATCCACTGTTGTGGAAAACGTCTGTCCAACCAGTTCTTCGCCCTGGTAGAAAAATGTGGTGGTGCTCCATCGTGCTGAAACCATACTTGGCGCAGGTCATTCAGGGAAAGACTGCAGACAAGATCATCAATGACAACACCTAATATTTCTTCTGTGTACATCTTTCCGTTCAAGTTGTCCTCAAAAAAGTGAGGTCCGATGATCCTGTCCCCGAGTATGCCGCACCACACATTCACACTCCAGCGAACTTGATGCTTGTGCTGCCTCAGCCAGTGTGGGTTTTCTTGTGCCCAATAATGGGCGTTGTGAAGATTAACACTTCCATTTCGGCAAAACCGAGCTTCATCAGTCCAAATTATTCTGTGCAAAAAGTCATTTTCTTGATCAGTTTTGATGAGGCCCCAATTGCAGAAGTCAACTCGCCTTTCAAAGTCCGCCTCATTTAGGTCCTGATGAAGGTAAACGTGATATGGATGGAACTTGTGCTTTCTTAAAACATTTGTGACTGTTCCGATGCTGCGACCGCACTGATCGGCAATCTGTCGGATGCTGAGCTCTGGCATCGAGGTTACGCACGCGACAACGTCGATTTCAAAGTCTTCATCGACGATTGCCTTCCTGGTCCGTCTCGGAAGGTGGACAGAGCCTGTTGTGCAGAAGCGTCGAAACAGGTTTGTGAAAGTGGGCCTTGTTGGAAGGGGACGGTGTGGGTGGCGAGACGCGTAAAGCTCCATTGCTAACGAAGCGTTGCCATTCATTTCAGCCATTGCAAGCACCACGTCTACTTTTACTTTGGTAGAATACCTCACGCCAGAAGCAGCCATATTAGCTCGAAAGGACTCCACGTGGATTTCCTTGGTAGACCTTCAATGCAGAGACGCTGTGCTCTAACCGGAGGCACCCTAGTGCAGGACGGTCCTGCTAACGCGTTCACAAGAAGATGTCTCAGTGTGATCTAAAGTCACGAAAAAACGTCGCGAAAAATGGTCTCCTGTTATCGCGTTCATCAGGATCATGCGTAAGGCTCATGGCGCACCGCGCTGTCACATTTTGATTTCGCCGGCCGAAGAGGGCAAGGGTAATTGCTATCACCTATGCCTACGCTTCCACCCTCTTCACACACTAAACACCACACGCAACAGATGCGTCACTTTAGGGAGGAGCTTTGCGCGGACCCTCACCCTCTTGCATGCGTAATCGTGCGAAAGACAATTAAACTTTGGAGCCGGATATCTCGGAACACAGGCGTGCTAGAAAAAATCTTCCAACTGAAACTGTGTACAAACACCACTGCCTACATTTTTTCAATATAAACATGCCAACTTACCGCAGCCAGTAAAAAGTTAATTATTAAATTTTAGTTAATTGGGCTGCTGACAGCGATAATTATCATCTAACTTTCTGTCCCCCTGGCCGCTTAACTTATTTGCACAAGTGGTTCTCACGTGCCTTCGAGCGCCTAATTTTAAAAAAATCATAAAGCTTAATTTTGAACACCCGGTATACCTAAATCTAAAGACTCTAGTAGCTTCTTACGCGGCGCTGAAAATGCGATGCCATGCACTAAGAAGCCCTCTGCTGACGATATCGTGCTGCCACCTGGCAATATCCCTGCGTTTCACACCAGCTCCGGCGCAGAAGAATTTATCTTTTGACAACATTTGCAGCGAAGCACACAAGTATGCCGCCAATTTTTTAAAGACGATAGTCTTTCTTGGGGAACTTCGACGTAAAAATTTTGGTCTGTCTGTCTGTACATTTGTCTATTTGTCCAACCTTAACAGTACGCTGAACGGCATCAAAGTGATCAAACGATACTCCAAATGGCCGACCCCAACCACAGCACCCACCAATACTGCTCAAGGTTCAGCGTTAATACTTGTGCGATTGTCAATAAAAATATTGACCCCGTATCCGCATGTAATCTGCAAATGTCGTCGAAAGACGATAGTCTGGCATGTGGAGAAAGTGAACAATTAATTTGATGTTCTGCGCAAGAAAATCGGTGAATGGTATTTTGGAGGCGGTGCGTTAGAGTGCCTCGAGCGTGCAGCAGAGGCGAACGAGCGGATCAAATCACGTCACACGTGAGACATGAGCGCCACCTGGCAGTCTTCTTGCAAAACGAAGTGCGTGGCTCTGAGACGGGCGTGCGCGCCTGTCTCAGAAGTGATAAGGTGAGGAACGCAAGACGACGGGTAGGTGGCACTACAATAGCGTCTTAGCAAAGCGTTGGAAACACTTACCTTTTCGTGCAAGCGTTGGATGGTCAGCGCAGCGTGATAAGTGCTACGTTCCTTAAAGTTACTTATGTATGCATTTTCCAGTAAAATATGCACACGCAGAA